TAGATATTGTGATATCATAGAATCACTTCATTGGCAAAAGGTAACTCTCAAAAATATGATCAAGAGATCAATTCTATTCAGTCTAGTTTTGCTTCTATGCTAAAAGATTTAAAGGATAGTATTAATTCTGGCCCCTGGTCTTTCTTTTTTATATATGAATACTGTGATTCATTAAGAATCCTCCAAATTTATTGATAAATTCCAACCTCCTTGCATGAAATTGTTAACCTGCATAAAACTGCAACCTCCCTGCATAAACCTGTTTCACATTTCTAAAGAAACAAATCCTGTTTGGAATTTTATTGTTGTGTTAACTATACAAAGTACTGAAATTTCTTTTTCTGATTTTGAATCTTTGGACATTACTTTGCCTTTCTTAAGGATGAGACAAGCCATAGTAGCTCTAAGTTTCTGAGGTGACTTTTCACTACTTCCCTTATTTTCTTTATTGTCTCTGAACTCCAGTGTAGTTATCCTTTTCATATGACAAAATCTGAGTTGATTTATTCCTATAGCCAATGTACTGATTTAATGTTACAGGAAGTCCCCGTGGGTGGAATGGGACTTCTATACAAGCTGTACAGTCCAAATCTGAATTACTTATTTCTTCTATGCCAACTTCAACATTTGATTCTGAATGTTTTAATTTACTCCATATTGATCAAAATCAGGAAATTCATGATGATTCTGATTCAGAAAAGACTTTTAAATAGTGAGGATCAGGATGTTAATTTCATAGATGACATTTACCTAGGCAGCTTGTCTGCATTGGATAACATTTCAGATTCAGAATTCTCTGATGTTGATTTACGAGTGAATTGGGTTTGGTGTCGTATCTTACTTACATTTTTTTTATTCTTCTACCTTGCAGGTAAAAGCCACGCCCAGTGGGATTGTCACCAGCTAGCAGGATACCAGGATGTTATATTGTATATTTAGCTTGATTATGGATATATATATAAGATGTATTATGTATTGAGATCTTAATTTCCATCTATTCTGTTTATTGTAATCTTAATACAATTTGGGATCATATTTAATAGTCGATTCAGCATTCAATGTCTACTGTAACTTTTGAGCATGTGTTAATTAATATATGTACTGTAAAAGATGTATACATGTAATGATCCCAAGTATTTGATATCCCAGTCCACAACAAAATGTACTACTTTGTTTTTTGTTGGTAATGAGATAAAGGTTGAAGCAACGTTAATGGCTCTTGGGTAATTTTGTGTATAATTG